TGATGACAATTACCGGTAATAAAAATGTGAGTACCAAACTCAGTTTTGCTCCCGCTTTATTTTTAAACACGCATACTTGTATGCGCCCTATAATCAGGTGCGCCTTATGTGTGTGTTAAATACAGTAATGGCACACATAACTGAGACTGCACCTTTTAGTACGGTGCGTCTTATGGTCGTGAAAATACGGTACACAGTTTTGTTTAGGGTAAATTAAGCAATAGTTTGTTGAGCAGATTTAACAAAAATGTATGAGTACCATGAAAAATTAAGAAATCTAATTGATTTAAGTATTCAATCATTCTACACTTCCACCCGTAGTCCGTTGTGCCATGTGCAGGACACTCACGGCTCAGCAGTGGATGATCTCCATTTTGTCTGAGGTAAGATTATCTTAATTTGTTCGAATATACAACACGTTTTAAACAATAACGTATAGCAGTTTTAAGTTAAAGTTCTAAACAGTATGATACGTCAAAATTAGATTAATAATGACCACTGTAATGACAGTAGCCTATCGTATTTTTACGCAAAATGGCATGAAATGGACTGCTAGCAGAAGGTCACTTTCCAAGTCTTCACATCTTTGTTACTTCGCAGCTTTCACTAACCACATGTTTTATCATAAAAAAAAATATATCAATGATATATTTCGATGGACTGTAACCTCCCTCATTTAGTTTTAAAATTTTATGAAAAAGTTTCGCACTCAGTGGTGAGTGATGTAGTTAAAATCGTTTGTGCGGGATTTTGTCAGTCACAGTTTTTCGAAGCTTTTGTCTCCACGCAGTGTTTTTCAGTTGTGGTAATTAAGCTAAAGCGGCTCAGTCCAGCGACATAACTGGTTTTCATATTCATGCTGTCAGAGCCCTGTGACTTTAGTGCAGGCACAGCTCACATAGAGGGATGATGCGAGTTTTCAGGTAAACTTGGTTGTGTATCAGTGAGACCCATGCTCAGTCACGATGTTTATGTTTCTGTAGAATGATCTTCAAGACAAAGGTACATCCAGGAAATAATATAGTAATGCGTGTTTAATGTGACTTAAGTCTTTCATAATTTCTATGTTTAACACCCAATGGTGTTTGGATACAGAGATGATGTAGATTAAAGGACCTCTTTTCAAGTATGGGAAGATATATACAGTATATAAATATATAAATAGTGTTATTTCATGTCATGATCTGTCACCAAATTGGTACAGAAAATAGGGTCTATCCCCTTTTTAATCTAATAAAGAGTTTCATTGTTTTATATGTGAGCCTCACCTTTAAAAATGTTAGTATTAATTAATTCAAATTTGTCTTTAACAATTTGTGTGTGTAAAATTTTTACTTTGGAGAGTGCGATTGTTATTAATGTTGTGTTCTTTTCAGTTGTTTACAGTGGCTGGGAAGTGCAAATCACATTTACAACATCAACAACAAAATAACATTTCTGAAAACACTTTTACATTAAAAAAAACAAATTAAAAAATTGACAACAAAATAACATTTCAGAAAACACTGAAAACACAAGTCCGCAACAAATTAACAAGTCTGCAACAAAATAAGTGGCTCTTGACGGAAAGGGATTGTCTGAAATACCGGAAGTGACTCAACGATTAGGCTTACTCCATATTTGTAGCACAGAAAAGTGATTTGTAGTCAGCTAAACGCAGGATGTCAACAAACGTCGAGAAACTAACTCCTCACAGCGCTTCCTTATTACCCTGACGGTGCTCGCTGCACTACATAGAGAACTGGAAAATGTTTTGCCCGTTTTGTGGCGTTAGCTTCAGCCTATTCACTCCTTTTTGTGCTTCCTGTGGACGGTCTCTGGAGCTTTTGTGGGACACAGACCAGGCTGAAGGATCAGACAACCTACAGTACTGCATTCAATTTTTCAACGAAGGTCACTCATATAGTGTTATCATGGACATGATGTTAAGTTTGCATGGTGTAAAGATGAGTTTAAGGAGTCTTAAAAGTAAACTCAATAATGCTGAACTTTACCGAAGAAAACATTTTCACTCTAGAACAACGATCATTAACGCAGGATAAGGACCTGGGTGATTGTTTGGGTATCGAACAATGTGGCAGGTACTTAAACAAAAGCATCATCTCAAAGTAAAGAGGGATGATGTGATGAAAATACTCCAGGAGCTTAATCCTCATGGATGCCAGGTGAGAACACGCAGAAGATTCATTAGGAGAACCTATCATTTGCTGGGACCCAACTACATGTGGCATGCTGATGGTTATGACAAGCTGAAACCATTCGGTTTGGCCATTTCAGGGTGCATTGATGGATTTTCAGGTTTTGTGTCTAGAATGTGGACCAACAAATAATAATCCAGCGGTTATAGTTTACTATTACTTGTCATGTGTTGGGAACCTTGGTGTTGTGCCGATGAGACTGAGAACTGACTGTGGGACAGAAAACGGCATTATGGCTGCAGTTCAGTGCGCACTATGTCACCATCATGATGACCACTTCAGCAGAGAGTCCAGTCACATGTTTGGTTCATCAACGAATAACCAGCGAATTGAGTCCTGGTGGTCCATATATAGAAAAGGAAGGTAAATATAACATTTGATTTGCCTAATATTTAAAGGTGTAACAAATTTGAATGTTGTGCAAAAGGGCAGCTGTGGCTACAACTGTAGCTTGCCTCCACCAGTGTGTGACTGTGGAAGTGAATGAATAGTGGAATTGTAAAGCGCTTTGAGGGCCTTGAAAAGCACTATATAAATGCAGTCCATTATTATTATTATTATTATTATTATTATTGTTGTTGTTATTATTATTATTATTATTATTATTTCAATAATTCAACTTAAAAAGTAAAACCGATATTAAATATTCATTACATGCCAAACTAGACATTTTTAGCCCATTTAGTAATTACGATGATTATGATTTGGAACTTAAGAAAAACCCAACTTCAAAATTAGAATATTGTGAAAGGGTTCAATATTTTAGACTCAAAGTGTCACTCTACTATGAGCTAATTAATTCAAATAGTCTGCAAAGGGTTCCTGAGCCTTTAAATGGTCTTTCTAATTCAGGAGGACTCACAGGATGGACATGACTGCTGTCCTGACAGCTATGGAAAAAAAACATAATTGACACCCTCCATAAGGAGCACCTTAAAAGAAGTTGGATGTTCCCAGAGACTATCAAAGCACATTAATAGAAAGTTTTGTCTAATGTAAGCGTGGATGAAAGGGGTGTCACATAGTGTAGTGGCTAAGAGCTGAAGGCTGCACTGTAAACCCCAACAGTCTACCTGACTTATAAAGTTTGTGGATATAACAATTGAAATTCCTCACAAAGTTGAAACAACTTAAAAATTTTCTGTTCTGTTAACGATTCAAACAGTTATAATTGTATATGGCTTAGAAGTTAAGAGTAAATACTGCTTTCTTAATTATGATTTTTGAGTAAATTTTTTTTTTCTGAGCTCTGCATGTGTACGTCAACTACGTCATGACATTTTCTCTCTAACCTGAACGATAGTGATGTGCGGATCTATACTGAAATATCAATTCCTCCGATACCAATCATTTATGTTCTAGAATCGATTCTCACATTAAAATATCGATATTTTAGTCATTTAGAGTAAATTTGTAGTTTATCATTAACAGGAACACAGTGGAAAGAAACTATAAAATTCGGATTATCTACATTCAAAGGAACTACTTCCTCTTCCGTCTTTCATAGTCATGTGCGAAATACGGCTGTATAAATGTCTCGCAGCCCCTTGGCGTGCATATTCACAACAATGGCTGAGCGTAATTGTTCAGAAGTATTTTACCTCCACAAACAGCTGAGACATGGTTTGCGATACACGTGGCAAAAAAAGTGCTCCAAGAGTGAGGTGTTGTGGCCATACTAGGGAGACATTCAAAGGGCTGCTGGGGGGTGATAAGTACATTTTACAGGGTTTATTTATCAGATAAAATACGTTAAATGTCACCGTTATTATTGGCTGGCCCGGAAACAGCGGGGGTGTCCAAATTCAGAGGCTGCTTCCACCTGAGGACCCGGCCTTCGTGGTCTAAAGAAAGCCGGGTAGTACGTCACGAGCTCCCTCGGTGGAGTGAAACTCTGCTGTCTGCTCCTTGCTATCTAAAATATAACCGGGCGCTGACGTAAACGCTTCTGTTTAATTATTTTCTGTTTGACGTTTATTCAGCTGTGTGAAAACCCCCGGAGGAACCCTCCTGAGGGATTAATAAAGTTACATTTTATTTAATCTAATCTAATAACTTTAATCTCAGCCAAACTGATTTAGTCACGAACAAACAAAACACTGAAAAAGCCGAACAATAACATTTTTAAGTTATCAAAGTGACTATATCATGTTTAACCCGAGTAGCGAAAGACCGTGGGGGTTTGAAAACGATGTTTGGATCGGCTCAGATATTTGAAGTTTACACAGCTACGTTCTCACCTGAAAATATGTTAAAAGTTTTTTTGCGACCCAGAAAGAGAAATAAGAGTAATATTAAAACTAAGCAGCTGCCGCACTATGAATTCTGCGATATGGTTTTTCAATTTTGTTGTCCGGCTGGAAAATCGGGAAAAATTCGGGAGAATGGTGGCTCCGGGAGATTTTCGGGAGGGGCACTGAAATTCGATGTTCTCCCGGAAAAATCGGGAGGGTTGGCATGTATGGTTGTGGCAACATCACTAAACCTTGTCAAACACCTCAGAGTAAATCATATCACAGAATATCAGGAGCGTATGTTGAGGCGAACTTAAGAGGAGGAGAGGGACAGGTGCTGCTAGGGCGAGACGGATGTCTCTCACAGAGTCCTTCAGTACTGCAGGCAGGCAAGGTGTTCAAATAGCACACAACTTCAGTTTTTTTATTTCTATATGATGAACTCTGCATTATTAAGTGATAAGAACAAGTAATCTGATGTCCTGTAATCATTATGATGCTATAATTTGAGATACAATAAATGAAATAAGTTTTTGTAGAAAGTATCGGTATCGGATCAGTATCATCGATACCACCCTGAATATTACTTGGTATCGGCTCGGAAAGAAAATCAGTGGTATCGCACATCACTACTGAACGACATTGACCGAAAATTCTTTTCAATATGGCTGCCCTTCTCGAGCGACTAGAGAGCACATTTGGAGAAACTTGTCAGTAAAACGGAACCTTCGTTATGTTTATTTTAAAAAAGCAAGTATATTAATATGTTGCAGCCAGGAACTTCTTTTCGAATGCGCTGTTGTGTTAAAAAGCACAGACCCAGGTGGTGAATAGTTGTTCGCTGTTGTTCGTGCTCTTTTTTCAAACATAGATTATGTTGTCAGTTTTACAGTTTTAACAGATTAAAACACAGTTTTAATAAGAATCACACATAAAGAGAGGGTCTTAGTGATATTTTAACGACCCCTTGCCAACGCAAGAAAGTTTTCACAACAGCAGCCTCATTGTTCGGCAGTTTTTTTTTTTCTTCTCATTAGCATCATTCAAAAGTGACTTAGCTAGCAGTGGCAACTTCTATCTAAAACAATTAAAAGTAATACCCAGATTGAAATATAGCAAGGTGTTGTATATTTAGTGTGCTGATAAGGTTTTCAGTATTTTTATTTTTTCTTCCAAGGCTGAAGACCGAAGCCAAAAAGACCGAAGAAAAAAAATTCAGACTGCAAGTAATTTCAGGTGGACACAGTAAACACAGGTGAGTTGAAAGATCTATTAAAGAGTCCTTTCTTCATGGCCATTAAAACATTTTTAGGTTAAAAGACCTGTTTTTTTAAATCATGCCCCTGCTATGTCACACTGAATCATGTTGAAAAGATATATTTTCATGGCTCCCCCCATTACCATTACCTTGTACTTCTTTCTACCAGTCTATTTTATTTTGTGACATTAACATCTTAAATGTACCCCTAATTATTAATAGCTGTGTTAGTATTTATAATGCATTTTTTTTATCATGTGCAGATCTACCAAGGGTCAGTGGCACAGTTCACCTTTTGTGGTAAGTTATAACACTTCATCTGTGGTCACATAAGTAAGTTGTTTCATCAGTTGTTCAGTTCTTATAAAATGTTGTATAATTGTACCAAATCACTGAGGATACATCCAATGTGTAAATCCCAATCAACAATTTTACTGTGATATTCGCTCGTGTTTAGAGAATCTCCATTATCTTTGTTACTGAGTTTCCATTTTTGTAGGGCCAAATTTGTATTAAAAATTAATATTTTCATATGATGTGAAATGACTCAATCATTTTTATTTTTTAGAAGAAACCATTCATTAAGTCCCTTAACTGTGGGACTTAATGTTAAGGTGCAGATTTCATATATTGACAATGATAAAATTAACACAAATTAAAAGTTTCACCGATAAACACTCAATTTTTCCTTGCTTTGAACCCCATGTTCTATATAGATTACAGCTCTGATCTGGAGAACACTATTTTAAAATACTGTGTAGGATTTTTGTCAAATGATTAAGAAACAGGCTCTTTGTCATAAGAGACAGAAATGTTGTGTCTTAAAAGAAATGTCTCCAAAATTTTGTAGTCTGATGTCATGCAGTTTCATAAACATGTATTCTCCCCAAAGAATGACACCTGAAAACTTTGTGTTAAATTAACTTTTCTTTTCCCTTTTTAGGAGGCACCTGATATCAACGTGAAACGCACTGCAGTGCTTCGTGCCCTTCCTGTATACCTGCAGGAGGAGGACCCAGAATTCTTTAAGACATGTAATGTAAGTGTATTTTTGCATCACTTAGATTCTGCCAGTGAGATAAAATGCCATGGATTTTTTTGGATTTTTTTAAAATACAATTTAATACCGTAGCAGCTACCAAATTGTACAAGCAAAATACCCTCTTTTTAGAAAACCCTCACACACAAACACACACAGGTCAGAAGCAGGGCAAAGGCGTATCACAGCACTATGGCTACGCTGCAGGTGGCCCCAAAACCAGGCTGAAGTCAAGATTTAGTTTCTTTTTGAGATAAAGTCATGAAATAAAAAATTACTTTTTTTTAGAAAAATAACAAACATACAAATTATGTAATGCAAGAAGCTAACACGTTAATGTACATTTTTCAAAAAAGTAGAGTACCCTAACTCATTACAAAGTAACCCACTATACTGCTGAATGTTTTGCTAGATTACAGGTCATGCTTGTCACATTCTCTCAAACCAACCTTACTTATTTAATTGGGGCGATCGTGGCTCAAGAGTTGGCAGTTTGTCTTGTAATCGGAAGGTTGCCGGTTCGGGAGGGGGGGGGTTATAAGCCAATTGGATCGCCTCAACAATCCAGTGGGAAATGCGTTGTTTGCTAACGGGCTTGCCAAGATGTTTTTTAGCCCAGGAAACAAACAGCTGATCTGACCTCCTGAAAGCCTTTGTTCTTTCTATATAGGTACATAAAGCCCTAACTGGACCGAGAGCATGTAGGCGCTCCTGCCCGAGGCAAATCACACACGCATCATGTGTATCTGAACCTGAGATTTTGCAACCGCAGGGGCGAATTCTGGGCAGCGGTTTGCAGTCTGCCATATTAAGGAAGCTTGGTGTAGCTAGCTTGGAATGGCTGGACGGCTAACGCTGATTTTTTATTTATTTTTTTCTTCTCTCGGTCGGGTAGCTATGGTGAACTAGTATGACCTAGCTAGTGTGGTGGCTAGCGCTTGTGCTACTTGGCTTGGTGACCGTGTGTAGCAAAGACAGTTAGCTTGGTCAGCTAACTGTTGTGCTAGGTGCGTGGTGGCAGCTAACACACTCTCCGACCTGGCTCTGTGGTGAAGAGCAAGCGACTCGAAACGCGAGCCGTGCTAGTGCCCAGTGACCAAGGTGTTAGCTTGCTTGCGTGGACAGTTAAGCTAGCACTCATGTTCACAGTCAGGAGAGATGAGGTTTCTAAGAAGCGAGAAGAGGAAATTGAATGACGGGTGACGCTGCGTCACACCCTTTTATAGGGAGAAGGGTGGCCCCTCCCTGACGCAAGCGTCATGACTGCCAGCCAATACTGGCTGGAGTAATGATATAGAGGCTTCTGAGGACAACGCTGAGAGAGCGTTCCCCATAGTGAGACACCGAAACGAATGTTTGAAAGAGAACAGGAGGGAGAGACAGAGAAAGAGCCAGGAACAACAACGTCACATTAGAAAGGTATAGTAATCATCTACAACTATTTTCAGTTGCAGATTATAAAGGATTCAGAAAGTTTATTCAACCAGGCCCAAATGACAGAGAATATGCATGTTCTTTTTGTTTTCATATTATAATTTATATTTAATTGTGTTGTGGTTTGCAGTGTTCTGTGTTGTTTCACTTTAAATTTGTAAAAGGAAAAAGCTGAAAATTTAAATAGTTAAAAGTTGAAATGTGAATAGTTGATTTTTGTATTATATGATTTATTTATTACATTTTATGTGGAGTGAATAAATAAAACTATATTTATGGTGGTCTCTACAGACAAAGCACATACAAACTTAAAATCGCATATGAATTCTGAAGCACGTACAAACCCTGAAGCACATCCAAACTCCAAAACACGGAAAAACACATACAAACTCCAAAACACGTAAAAACTCCAAAACACGTGAAAACACGTACAAACTACAAAACACATAAAAACTCCAAAACATGTAAAAACTCAGAAGCACATAAAAACTCAAAACACGTACAAAACACAACAGAAGTGCTCCAGGATGCTAGGGCGCAGTGTTGAGCTTTTGTTACCTAGTGGCTACACAAGCCAGCAAGTACCAACGACCGGATTTGGTGTGTGGTAGTAACAGGTAAATGAACTTTTTATTTTTTTAATTATTTGACTATATATGAATGCTTGTATATAAATATACAAACAATACACATATGCTTTCATGCTTTCAATTGTGTAATTTAAGTGATCTAGGTAGCTCTGTTTTGGAAGTTCAGTTCATGCTAGAAAAGTGTTTTGGAGTTTGGATGTGTTTTGTCTCTAGGGGCCACCGCATATATTTATATATAAACATATATAAACAAAGCCACTTTTTTTTTTTACATTAGTAATTCCTTTTGTGCATAATTTTGTATTATTGTTAATAATAAGTTAATTAAAGCAACAACAACCTGAAGAGCCGGTTCGGAGCTGAAAGAGCCGGCTCTTTTTAGTGAGCCGAGCCGAAAGAGCCGGTTCTCTAAAAAGAGCCAGAAATCCCATCACTACTGCCTACATGCTCTTAAGGAATATAAGGCAATGTTTGTTAGGACATGCACTCTGTTACTGAGCACTTTGTTTGAAGCACTTTATTTAAAGCACTTTAAGTTTACTACAGGCTTTGGGTGGATTTAACTCCATCGGTTTATCTAATTTTCCTATACTTGACTGCCTGTTCTGGTTATTTCGAAGCTGATCATCTTTCTTTGTACCCATTTTAAAAAATTGTTTTTCATTTCCCTTTCAAAAAAAAGTGATTAGTATTTGACTTTTTGTTTTGCATTTTTGTGTATTTTGAGAAAGATCCAATTAGGACTGATGTCGTCCTTTGTGATTTTATAAAAAGATAAATGTTCTACACTGAATTTATAATGCTCACTCCATGCTGCCCATGTCCATGTTAGTGGTTTTATAAAAACATTTGTGATGTTTTTAAATTTCCATGAAAAAATGTTAAATAAAAAAAATATAAAGTAACTGAATTTCTGTACTTTTTTTAATATTCTACCCTCAAACATTGAAACATAAATATCTTTTAATCATATAATTTGAGTTTAGGTTGTAATATAAGTGCTTTGTGTTTCATCAAAATAATAAACTACAAGAAACACAAAAATATTGAAATTAAAGTATACAGTCTTTGAGTAAAGCTCAATTAATAAAATATAATTTAAAATTTTTAGGTTAACAATGAATACAAATTTTGAGTACCCCCATACTTAGAAGAGATGAGTTTGTGTACTTAAATCTTTTGAGATAATCAGTTTCCACAAAAGTTTTAAGTTCAGTCAACTTATTCGGGTTTACAGTGTGCTACTGA